CTACTCCCCTTAGTCAAATTCTATTTGTTGAGAATCTTCTTAAACTTTACCATCTTTGATGAAATTTACTCTTAATACTATTATGCCTTTATAAATGCATTACTTATCCTCTTAGTAATACTCTCTTGATTGAAAACTATACTGAATTAGTCATTCTCTTTTAAATAACTTGATATTAGTCTAATCATGTTATTTTTACTGTGCTATCTTGATTTGATCAAACTCTTTTGATCAAGTCTTCATTTGGGATGGCTTTTTGATTGCTTCTTAAAACAGAGTTTTAGTACAAAAATTTTTAATTTATGAATTCTAACCAAAGTCTTATATTTCATTATAATTTATGAATTAAAAAAATTTATAAGTTTCACATTCTACCTTATATTTTTTGATAATGTTGTATAATAACTTTATTGGGAATAGAGTCAAATACTTCCTTCTATATATATGATACTAGATAGTCATTGAGCTATGCATCACCTATTTGCTATACAATCAATGTTTGATGATTTTCATTACAGAAAATGCTCTATCCACTACAACAATAACAACTAGTAAAGTCAGGGTCCAAATAATAAGTCTATAAAACAGATGATACACGATATTCTTTTTTTCTTTATAATATATTTTACAAAAGAAATAATACTAATCAAAGATATAAACTCGTCACTTGTACGCATATTAATGATATAAGTAGATAGTTAATGTTCAAGAGTAACAAAATCAACAATAAAAAAAAAATTTGGATATAACTCTGCAAGATGAAATTCATTCTCTCTTATCATAAGCAAATAATATATTACATAGGTTTAAATATATCACATAAAGAGCTAAGTCAGTACTAGTTCTAAGAAGTGATATTTAGTTCTTGAAGTTGCATATCAACAATAGTATAGAATTAATCAGCCTGATAATGATTGAAGGTTTTTATTTCTTCACCTTTTCGTACTGATTGCCAACGATCCTTGAATAGATAGTTCATATTTCAAATTTCAATGTCAAAAATATTACAAAACATAGCACTTCTTCCAATAAAGGCTCACATCCATTTTCCAACTTGTTTACATACATCGTTGTAATAGCTAATTATTCTTGTGGACACATCGTGGTACTCATCAACTAACGTAGTGAGGTAGAAATGACCAATATCATTTATAATTGCAGCCAAGGTTATATCAACAATAGAATTACAATTCTCCTTTTATACTTTTGGTACAATCAATATTAATTAACTTAGTTCTTGTACTTTCAAATGTTACTTTTCTGGCTTCTTCATTATAATTTGCAAGAAATTGAACTAGTTCTATATAATTTACATGATTATCTAAGCTAAATAATTCATCATGACCACGGAATGATAGCCCTTGGTGGATAAGAAATCAGGCACAGTCAATAGCTACACTTAACATGATATGATATTCTTTTTTATTCGTCTCATCCTTGTTCAACCATAAAGCAGGAATTTTATGCCCTTGGAAAGCCTCACATTTCTATCTTGATTTATTGTGTGCACTGTTATGTTCTCTTACATGGTTCAAAAGATTTTATTTTCTCTTCCAATACTTAAAACCCCCACCAACAAATAAGGCACGATTACCTTGGCATGTAATAATTTGCTCTTGACGCTTAAATAAATAACAATACAACATCTTTTTGTACATTGTATTATATCCAATCAGAAAATTCTTCAAACCATTTTGAGTTCAATCTGCATGAAATATTTCCTATCATTATTTGAGGGAAAATATGATTTTTTTGGTTAATGGGGTTCCTTCAACAAATAAGCACCGGAAACTTTATTCCTCTCATTTACATCATAATTCTAAATTGATGGTCGAAGACTCAGGCTAACAGGAAAATTATTAATATCAAGCTCAACAAGTTCTTTCCTCTTCAAAAATAGTTCCATTGATTGACAATTATCTTGTATGTTGGCTAAATAACATGGCAACAACAAAATATGATCTTAGCAAAATATGAATATTGAGTTGAAACATAAGAGTATATGCTATAATTATTAGTAAGCCTTTTTTTTTAGACTATAAAGTTCACTATTGTTTTGAAATTGCTTCAATGTCACCAAGGAAGGATCAATAGTTGCAAGTATTTTTTTTCAACTTCAAGATCAGGCATATGCATTGACTATGTGCTTTTACTTCAATTATAGAAGAGATGACTACACATACATCCTTCACATAAAATAAGTTGATATAATTTATAAATGATATCATATGATTTGAATGACTAAATTCCTTGGTATTGTTCTGCTAGTTCTAAAAATAAGTGAACTCCTGAGCAGTATTACAATACCAAAATACCGGCTAAATAAAAATCTAGAGTACAAATAAGCATCATAATTAGTAAATCTACTTTGAATTAATAGTTTAAACAAAATCTAAACAAAAAGAGAACCCTCATCAAAAGAAATTTGAGAAATTAGAGTTCAAGTTCATTAAAATCTAAAAAATATGAAGTATGTGTCACTTAATGATGTTTGACGAGAGTGCTATGAGCCCAAAACATTATCGTCATTATATTTTCTAAAGAAGATCTCATGCTTGAAACATTACAGTATAATTGTCATCTATATATTATAGTAGAGAATGTATTATTACGATCAATCAGGTTTTGATTGATCCTTGATCTTTAATAAATATCATGAGACTGTGACCTTTAAGATTGTTGTCCCTTGATGTTCGACATTTCCAATAAGATAAGCTGTTGGTATGGCCTTAACAAAAACAAATAGAAAATTATGAGATCATTCACCCTTCCTCTCCAATTTATAGAGCTTTATATAAGAGCTAAAATTCATATGAGTGATGCCAAACACCTCATTTAAAGCGCTTTTATGAACTCCACATTTACAACAATGAACTTTACATTATTGATCCCAACTTCTTAAAGCATTTCTATTTCCAACAAGAAGGTTTATTTCATACATACCGTGTAAGATATGAAATCAAAGTAGTATAATATGTAACTTATTAAATATATTATGGGAGTACAAATTTTAATATTAAAATAGAAGACCTTGGACAATTTTTACTGCTAAAAATAAAATATATCATTTCACGTACACTAAGGCTTCATTTGGACGGCTTTCTTATTGCTCTTAAAACAATTTTTTAATATAAAATTTAAAATTTTTGTATTAAAAAATTGCTTTAAGAAGTTGTATACCAAATAAAATCAAAGTATATTTTAAATAGGACAACATACTTACAAAAATGCATGAAAAATTCCAAATTTTCATAACATGACATTACTTTCTAACAATTTGAATTAGGGGATTTTTGTATCATAAAATTCTTATATATTTATATATCTAACGCTTAAATTTTTATATTTTTTTATTAAAAATCAAATCAAATTTCTAAAATGCATAAAAGTATATATAATTAATATTAATTTTTTCAAAATAAAATATATCTTTTTATGTATATAATTTTATTGAAAATTAAACATTAAAAGAAAATATAAAAAAATATAAAAAGTTGCATATTATCATAAACCGTTCATGAACTACGATTTTAAGAATATTTCTCAGAAAAACCTATATATCACCCGACCCGTTTGATAAACGGGTCGGGTTCGGGTTCGCATATTTGACCCGTTTGAAAAACGGGTCGGGTTCGGGTTGACCCGGCAGGTTGACGGGTCAACCCGGCAACCCATTTATTTTAAAAATTTTTGAATTTCCCACCGTTTCCACCCGCCTGCTCGCTGCCACTGCCCGCGCTGCCTCGCATGCGGTGTGCCGAACCCGCTGCCCCGTGTGCGGCGTGCCGACCCGAACCCGACGGGTTGACCCGAATTGACATCCCTAAATTAATAACCACAACATTAAACATTTATCTCACTACATGAGGTTATCAAGTTAAATGTCAAATTCTCATTTAAATCAAATAAAAAAATATCATTTTTAATATTTTCTAATATTTTTAGATTTGCCTCTACTTTTCTTAACAAAAATTAAATCTAATACATCTACCCTCCGAACCAGGTAATCGGAAGGTCACAATTTCATGCGACCAAATCATCTAAAGATGACTCTCTAATCCCATCTTCCGCTGGAGCTACTCAAATCTTTTCACATATATGCTCGTTTCATATCTTGTATCCAAGAGTTAAGCCACCCATCCACCAGATCATTTCTAATATTTTACTGCATTGCAATGTGGATAGCAATATAGTAAAAAATTTGTCTCAAACATAGCCTAAGTATTGAAATACTCAATTTATATAAGCTGCTTTAAGTTGTTCCACTTATTCAATTTACAAGTTTATAATTGATTTTACATCAATCAATAGAATTATCCATTACAGATATTCCCTAAAACTTTGGAGAACTTTCAAAATCAGGAAACTAAATTCAACAAATATTCTATAAACTAAGAGCAATGGCAAAAAAATGAAGTACTTCAATAAAAGCAAAGACTCCAAAGAACGGGCTCCAAAAATATGTCTGTTTATGGCTTCTACCAGCAAAAATACATATAAATATTGCAGAATATTACTGTTTCAATGCATATACATCCCCCTTCTCTTTGATTTGATACATACCACAAAATTCTTATATATTTATACATCTAATATCTAAATATTTATATTTATCTAACATTCAAATATTTAAATTAAATAAAAAATATCATTAATATCAACTTATTTAAAATAAACCATACGTTTTTATGCATATACTTTTATATGATTTAGATAGTAAAATAATGTATAAATAAATATAAAGATTAAGCTATTAGATGTATAAATATATAAGATTTTTGTGGTAAATATGTAAATCCTCCTTTCTTTCCGGTGAAATTATTCTGTGCAGATATGGACGTCAACTGGAGGCAAATCAGAACGCGTCACATCACCCATTTGCTGTGTACCGCGACTACATACCGGATGACATGGCGCGTTCTGATTCGTCTTTGAACGATCCAGTGTCCACACAGAATAATTTCTCTTCTTCCGACAACCATTTGGGGGTTCATGACTTGTTAGTCAACATCATTACCTATTTAGCAAAGGTTATTGCAAACAGAATAGCTTACAAATCCTGTAGTATAAGACCATCCAAGCTGAACAAATTTGCCTAACTCAAAATATTCACACTACATAAACACACACGCATTGTTTGTATTACCTCAAGGTCATGGAGCTAGCAACTTCTTGATTCCTATTTTCTGCTCTGAAGTCAGCCTGGAAGGAAATTTGATGTTGAATTTAATTCTAAGGTTACCTTTCTTGGTTGGATCCTTGGGAATAGGCATCCCTTCCTTTGGCACGACCTCCTCATAGCCAGGATGGATTATGGAGTTTATTGGAATGGTGAGGCTTCGGCCATCCAGAGTAGTCAAAAGGACGATATATCCAGTTAAAGCTTCTACCAGAGAGATCTTTTGTGTTATGACGAGATCGTTACCCTCCCTCAGAAACACATCATGAGGCTTCTCGTCGATGATAAATACTATATCTGCAGGAATCATATTCGGGGCTTCATTTCCTCTCTCAGGGAATGTGATCTTCGTCCCCTTCTTCCACCCAGGCTTGACATCTATGGTAAGGATTTCCTCCACCGGCATTATTTTCCTGGCATGAATAGAAACTTGGTGATCAGACTACTAAATGTATTAGTTTTCACCTAGCAAATAGAGGGGGTAGAGAGAGAGAGAGAGAGAGAGGGGGGGAGGCAACAGTGGAATCAGCATGAACCAAACAATTTTTTAATAGCCATTGTTACTGAATCAATTACCAGATAAAACACGGCACTGCAGAGCACTAAGTAGTAGAAATTGTGCATATAAGAGAACTTCATAGTTACCATTTAGAACAGACTGTTCTAGTTTTTGCAACCAGTATAGTCCTTCGCCTTTATAGAACATCTAGTACAAGTTCCAGATCGATAGGGTAAATATGGCTACGACCAAGTAACATTATCTAATAAACGCAAGTAAAGCTCACCCAGAAAGGCCAAACAATATCGAAGCAACCAAGTAATAAAGTGGCTGAAGTCGGGATTCTCTTCTAACTTTACAAAAATAAACTAATCCATGAGAAATTCAGATAAAATCATAAACTCGTAACTCCAATACCCAATCTCATCAGCCAAGTTACTGTGGGGCTTGTACTGGATCTTGCCTTGTTATCATAATGTCCCTCGAGTAGATAATTTTGTGTATGCATTCACTTACAATTCAGTTGACGCATCAATATCGACTCAATGTAGTTCATTATAAAACTTGTGTGGAAACCGACTAACAAAATAATGAAGCCTACCCTTCAGATTTAAGAAAAAGAGTAATGATAGTCAAAGCTTATTTTATTTAGCTCAGCTGCCCCCAAGTTTATCTGGCATTTACTTTTTCTCATTTTGCGTGATCACATGATAAAAAATATTTATAATATAAATAATCCACCATATCAGAATGTGTGGTGCTGCATAAGTGGGCTTGAAAAGTATTGCTCTTTAAACAATATACATAAAAGTCTCCTAATTTTCAAGAGCCTTCAGCTATCAAATAAATAGTGTTTTGCATAAAATAGACAATGAAAACTATTGCATTGCCATCCTCGTCAAAAAGTTATCTATTCAATATGTACGCTAATGTGCAATATCAATTACCACCTCTCATATATCCGATCAAACCAGATGCATAGTTACCACAAGCCTAGATGGAGTAGCTGTGAGACTAAACGAATATAGTATAGCTAAGAGTCTGATCTGTGTTGAAATGGCTATTGTTTTGTTTTAGCCAATATGTAAGCTCCCTTGCAGATTTCGTTTCCAGTGTGGATATAGCCAAATATTTTTTATTAATCATAGAATTGCTTTCTTTACATGCTTGATTATAATATGTATGAAACTTCAAAAGAATAGAGTCCAAAAAAATCAGTAAGTCATGACTACACAATCTCAATCGTTAGCTATAGCACTGCAAGACCCAAAGTCCCATAACAATCGCAATAATAGATGTTAGTGGAAATAGAGGATCCATAAAAATGGAAAACAAAATAGCCGCAAAAATAAAAAATAGATGTGAAACAAAACACAACAAAACCACAAGAAAGAAACTAGGGATTAAAAAAAAAACCATTCGAATAGTCTTGCAAAGAAGCAGAATGACCCTCCATTCAAATGCCATATTAACGAACTTGTTACAGTCATACAAGGAAATAGAAAAAAACAATAATATAGAATGAAAGGAAATAGAATCATAAATAAGTCATAAGAAAAAATAAAACAAAAAAAAGAGTCATAAAAAGAAATGAAACCAAAAGAAGGTCATAGAGAAAATAGAACCACATAATTAGAAAAATAAAGGAGTCAGAGCAGCATACACAGGAAACCTTTAACAGCTTCGCATGAAAAAAATTCTACCCAATTTGAAATAATTTGTCTTTAGCAAATTGTTTAGCTAATATTCTTCTAACAATTATGGTCATTCTTATTGGATTTACAAATAAACAATTCGCGAACATAATTATGATCAATGTAGATATATTTTTTCACCACCAGATATCATATCCACCATTAAAAAGGAACAGAATTTAAATGCCAATAATCACTTTGGGAACAGGACTAATAGCATTGTTGAACATACATATGGCCAATGTAGATTTTTTTTTTTTTTTTACCACCGGATATCTTTATATCCACTATTAAAAATTAACACAATTTAAATGACAATAATCACTTTGGGAACAAGACTAATAACATTAATAACAAGACTAATAACAAGGCTGTTATCTTTAGATCCACCATTAAAAATGAACACAATTTAAATATCAATAATCAGTTTGCAAAATTAGCACATCGTGTATTGAAGGTGAACTAAAAAAGAGGTGAAATAAATAGAACACTTTAAGGCATTGATCAATGATACATAATATAAAGTTAGGTTAACAATATTAAAAATAAGACTAATATCAAAACCTTCGATTTTCTAACCTGTATATATTAATTCCAATTTGATGTATAACTTTATAAAGTCATATTTTCTAGCAGGTAATTTCTCAAGGGTTCATGGAGGAACTTCTGTTATATGGTTGTAATATGGATCATGATCTTATTGCCTTCTGAATTCCACTTATCTTCTGTTAACATATGTAATAAATGTAAATTAATATAGGTATCAACAACCTTCTGAGGATTAATTTTATACAAATTATAAACATGAATACAATATGATACAATCCATGTAGGAATAATTAAAAAATTCTTATGTATTCAGTAATTGTTAGACTATAAATAACTCAAAGAAGGGGCAAATATGAAAGCTTAAAATCACAATTATCACATTCCATAAAATTTTCTTCTGATAATTAGCGCACCACACAAATACATGTATATTATATGGACAAACACCTTTGAAAGAAAGTAATGTGAATGATTTAAAGGTCAAACATAATAAATAATAAATCTTTGAATTCAATCAAATAAATAAATATTTTAAATTTTAAATTTCTTAAAGTCTCATGAAAAATTTTAGATTATTCAATTGATTTGATAGCAATAGCAAATAGACATACAACAACAACGACGACGACAGGCCTTTATCTCACTATGTGGGATCGGCTACATAAATCATTTTTCTCCATTATGTCCTATTAAGAGTTAAATTCTCACTTAAATATAATATAAAAAGGTAGTTTTTAATACTTTCTAATCAAGTCTTTTTAGATCTACCTCACCTTTCTTAACATAGGTTAAATCTAATACATCTACTCTCCAAATAGGGTCATCAGAAGGTCGGTATTTTATATGACCAAATCATCTAAGGCGACTCACTTTAAGCTTATTTGTCACTGAAGATACTCCAATCTCTTCATGTATATACTCATTTCACATTATGTCTGCAAGCAAAACCACTCATCCACCTGAGAAACATCTCTACAATCCTTATCTTAATTTTATACTTCTCTATTACTAGTCAATATTCTGCACTATAAAGCATTATAGGTCTCACCATCATCTTATAAATTTTCCAATAAGTTTGAAGGGTAGTTCTTTTTTATCCACAACAAGCCCAATGCATTCCTCCACTTCAATCATCCAACTTGAACTCTAAAAAAAATATCCCCGAGATATCTAAAATATGCTCTCTTTTTAATGATTTGATCACCCAATGTCACAATCCCACTACTAGATCTATTACTACTAAAATTGCGCTCCATGTATTCGGTTATAGATCTACTCAAATGAAAATCTATAGACTCTAAAACAGACCTCCATAATTCAGATTTTTCATCAACTCCCTCTCTAGACTTTTCAACAAAGATAATATCATCAGCAAAAAGCTTACACCAAGGTACATCGTCTTGCAAATGTCTAGTAAGAACATTCATGACTAATGCAAAAAGATATGGGCTTAAAGCTGATCCTAGATGAAATCCATCTGAAATAAGAAAATACTTGGTCAAAACACTTTTTATTTGAATACTAGTAACAACTCCTAGCATTACCAAGTAGACTTATCACCATCAGAATTACGGATTGATTTTGATTCAAACTCAAGTTTGGGTTTAGCATACAACTTTAGTTTCAAATTTAATAGTTTCAATTTTAGTTTCAAGTGCACAAATATATTTTGGTTCATAGCCTAATGTCCATCAAGGTTTAGGTTTAAATGAAAAAATGTGCTTCTAGGTCATCAGTTAAAAAAAAATAATGAATTATAATTTCTTCAATAGGATTATGCTTCATCAAATATGATATTAGTGCTGGTGAGTGTTTAACAAGCCTTAAGTTAGATGTAGATGATGTTTCCTTAAAAATACTAATAGTTTTGTAGCAGTCCAAACAAGATAACCAAAACATTTTTTAAATTCTAAAGTTTTGTAATAAGGCTTGTAAATTATCTTGAAGAAATTGTACCTCCTTTAATTGTTAATCACTTGTCTAAAATCTTAATGAAATAAATAATTAATTTCTAGGCAAATAATCCCTAGCAATTAATTTTTAAATCCCGAGAAAAGATTCATATATACCATAAGTACCTTTTCCAAAGTCTTAAATTGATTATAAATTTGATTTCTATATTACATGAATAATGAATACTATTATTTAAATTCACGTTTCACTTCATCCCAGGTTTTATTATATTTATAATACTTCACAAAAAAATATTTTAACAGATCTCATCAATTTTATTTATACAAATTCCATTCATTTGGGATCAAACTACTATAACTTTTGAAAAATTCCTTTAAAGATTCTATCCCATTTAAAAGCATCTTGGGATTATGCTCCGACAAAATATAGGAATACTATTATTAACTCAATAATATTTGCGCTAAATTTGTCCAAATTCATGGCTAAATTAATTTTATTTAAATTACTCCTTGATGATTTCTTAACTTACTCAAATACCAAGATAAATGCCCAAAAGACATTGTCATATAATAATAGGCTAATACCAAACTTGATGTAAGATGATTTGAGGTCTAGAATTACTAATGTAGATCTAGAATGCAATCAATAAGTCACACAAATATGCAATTTTTACAGCAAACTAGCGACCACTCATTTAAGAATTGACAACTTTCAAAGAAAACCAAAAATGATAAACCCCCAATTCATACTACAAGAG